ATTCTTTCTCATTGCTTTAGAGTTGTGGCAGGCACAAAATGGCCATGCCCTAACTCCTGGAACACGTGGGTATGTATACAGTAGAGACATTCACAATAGGGGTGGATGCAGTCTAACTTATGAGCCTTTAAAGCAGAGCTCCTACTCTGGCAACAAGCAAGGGAGACCCAACAGAGGAGAAGTTGGAGATTTTTGAAGCATGGCAAGGATTCAATGTGTTATTTCTGGGTGTCCTATATAAAGACCCACATACTAGAGAGAGGTCTCTAGTATCTAAGAACAGCCCCTAGGGGATAACCAGCAAAGAAGGGTCTTAATCCCATACTCTCCAGAAACTAGGTTCTGGTAAGAACCTGAAGGAGCTTGGAAGTGCATATTTCCAAGAACCTCTCAGTAAGCGCCCCGCCAGACAATACCTTCATTTCACTTTGTGTCCTGGATCACAAATAAGTTGAACCAATGTGGACTTCTGACCTATAGGAATTATCAGATAATTAATTTGCATTATTTTAAGCTGCTAAGTATGTGGTAATTTGTGTGGCAGTAATATAAAACTAATACAAGACTGTTCCATTGCATCACTATAACACAATTTTTTTTAAAAAGTCTATTTTACTATTGACAAATTTGGATCACTTCCATTTGAGAGTAACTATAATTAATGATGCTGTGAACATTTTTGTATATGTCTCTTTGCAAATGTATGTAAATATTTCTTTCCATAGATACTCAAGAGTAGAATTGGTAGATCATACTTTATGAATATGTTCAGCATTAGTAGATATTGGCAAGCATTTTATCGAAGTGGCAGTACTAATATACACTCCTACCCTTGGTCGTGAGAGTCCCCATTGCTCCACATCCTTGCTAACATTTTGGTGGAAATTTTTTGATGGAAAATTTGTAGTGTTAAAGAAGAAATAGTTCGCTATTTTTGTAACTGTTTATTACTCATAGCATTTTGATTTGCATTTCTCTGATGATTAATGATTTTGAGAATATGTTCATATGCTTATTAGATACTTGGATATTTTCTTTGAAGAATACCTGCTCAACAGTTTGTCAAGTAGTCCCTGAATAGCAGCATAGATACTTGATTGGCTTGTCACACTTCCATAAAACCAGTTGGGAAGGAAACAGTGAGCCCACGTGGATTTGCACAGTTTATACTCGCAGCACAGAAGGCTTCCTAAGCTTCCGTTCACATCTCCTGTTTGCAACAGTTCCCCGTCCCCATATGTGCCGTGGGGTCCAAGGTGGCCCCAGGTGGTTGCTATGTTTGTGGCATAGGTGTGTGCCTCAGCTGAGAGACGCTGCCCTTAGGAATTCCCAGTCATTTGAGGGGCTGCTGGCAGAACTGCCCTTTCTTTTTTTTTTTTTTCTAACTTGAATTTTTTTTTAATATCAGCATATTATGGGGGTACAAATTTTAAGGTTTTAAATAATGCCCTTCCCCCCTGCCCCCACAAGTCTGAGTCTCCAGCACAAGCATCCCCCAGACAGTGCACATCTCACTCATTATGTATGTATATACCCACCCCCCTCTCCCCCCCACCTGCCCAATACCCTATTACTGTAGTACCTATGTGTCCACTTAGGTGCTGCTCAGTTAATACCAGTTTGCTGGTGAGTATATGTCGTGCTTGTTTTTCCATTCTTGGGATACTTCACTTAGTAGTATGGGTTCCAGCTCTAACCAGGAAAATACAAGAGGTGCTATATCACTGTTGTTTCTTAGAGCTGAATAGTACTCCATGGTATACATATACCACATTTTATTAATCCACTCTTGGATTGATGGGCACTTGGGTTGTTTCCACAGCTTTGCAATTATGAATTGTGCTGCTATAAACATTTGAGTGCAGGTGTCTTTTTTGTAGAGTGTCATTGGATCTTTTGGGTAGATGCCCAGTAATGGGATTGCTGGATCAAATGGTAGATCCACTTGTATCGCTTTGAGGTATCTCCATATTGCTTTCCACAGAGGTTGAACTAGTTTGCAGTCCCACCAGCAGTGTAGGAGTGTTCCTATCTCTCCGCATCCACGCCAGCATTTATTGTTTGGGGACTTTTTGATAAAGGCCATTCTCCCTGGAGTTAAGTGATATCTCATTGTGGTTTTGATTTGCATTTCCCTGATGATTAGAGATGATGAGCATTTTTTCATATGTTTGTTGGCCATTCTTCTGTCTTCTTTAGGAAAGTTTCTGTTCATGTCCTTTGCTCACTTTTTGATAGGGTTGTTTGATTTTTTTATTGCTGTTTTTCGTGAGTTCTAAAAATATTCTAGGTATCAGCCCTTTATCAGATGTGTAAGATGCGAAAATTTTCTCCCATTCTGTAGGTTGTCTATTTACTTTCATGACTGTTTCTTTGGCTGTGCAGAAGCTTTTTAGTTTGATCATGTTCCATTTGTTTATTTTTGTTGCTGCTGTGATTGCCTTTGCCCTTTCTTTATATCTGAGAAAGAGTTAATAAAAATATGTAAGCACATCTTCTCCCAGAAGAGGAGGGAAGGTAAACAAATTTTCTATTTCTAATTATTCTTTTCTATCTTGAAAAGTAAATAAATTTTCTTTGTTATTCAAAAACTAACTCTAGCTTCCAAGGCTGTTTGCTACACAAATATCCTTGAAAAGATAGTCTGATATAGATATAAAATATATGGGCATAAACATATACATGTACATATTTATTATAGTTCTATGTATGCCTATGTACATATAAACATATATTACATAAATATACATATATCAGCCTATCATTTGTACATGTATAATTTTTAATACTATAATGTATATACTATTTGCTGTGTAAACATCTTTGAAAAGATAGTCTGATATAGTCAGATGCTGCATAACATAATTTTTCAAATCAACAACAGAACACTTTTACAACAGTGGTCTCATAAGATTGTAATAGTGTATTTTTGCTGTACTTTTTCTATGTTTAGATACACAAATACTCACCATTGTGTTACAATTTTCTGCAGTACTCAGTACAGTAACATGGTGTACAGGTTTGTAGCCTAGGACCAATAGTCTACACCACACAGCCTAGGTGCATACTAGGCTGTACCACCTAGGTTTGTGTAAGTACACTCTATGATGTTCACACAAAATGCCTAAAGATGCATTTTCCAGACCATATCTCTATTAAAGATGCATGACTGTATATATTAGAATATATATACATGTTAACGTGTATATATATGTGTGTGTGTGTGTGTATGTATGTCATGAAGAATTGTCTCCTAATAGACTTTTGCCTATTTTTCTATGTGGTATCTGCCTTTTTCTCATTAATTTTGAGAAATACACACACACACACCCCTACACATACATAAACATATGGAGCATAGCTTTTCAAATATTTCTTCTTTAACATGATAAATTTTCCTCAAAGCATTGCTTTTGCTGCATACCATGATTTTTATTATGTCTTATGTTTCTTATTCAGTTTCAAAATATTTTCTAATTTCCATTGTAATTTTTTATTTTATTTTGATTTGTTTAAAATAGTGTTGATTATCATGCATACATTTGGAGATTTCTAGTTTTTGTAATTGGTTTCTGATTTAATTTTATTGTGGTCAGAGAATGTACTTCTGAGTAAAGTTTAATGCTTTGAATTTTGTTAAGTCTTGCTGTAAGACTCAATATGAGGTCGCTCTATTTTGATAAATGTTTCATGGGCACTTGAAATGAATATGTGTCCTTCAGTGATTCATTATACTGTTCTGTGTACATAAATTAGGTCAAGTTGGCTATTTTTCTTTAAACTTCTATATTCTTATAATTCTTTTACTGCTTATTCTATCAGTACCAAGAGAGATAAGTTAAAAATACATTTGTCTATTTCTCCTTTTAACTCTGTCAATTTTTGCTTCATATATTTGACTATGTTATTCTTTGAGTAGAAATTTAGGGCTGCTATCATTACAGTGAATCGATCCTTTTTTATTATTAATTGTTCCTTTTTATCTCCAGAAATGTAGACTTAAAGTCTACTTTGTTTGATATTAATATGATTATATTAGCTTCCTCTTGAGTGATGGTTGCATGATATATCTTTTTCCATTCAACTACCTTCAATTTTTGTATCATCTAATCATTTACCATCACTATATTGATAATATAGTTTTACTCTAAGTTTGGGTCGGTATATAATTCATGTTAATTAACATAGTGGTTATTGAATATAGAATAAAGTGTAATCCTATTTTTCTTTTAATTCTAAAATATGAACTAGAAATAAAAATATGAAAATATTGCACATTCTAAAACAATATTTACATATAGTTGTCATAATTTTTTTGTTTGTTTTGAGATGGGGGTCTCACTATGTTGCCCAGGCTGATCTCAAACTCCTGGCCTCCATGGTCCTCCCACCTCAGCCTTCCCAGTAGCTGGGATTACTGGAACGTGCCACTGTGCTTGGCTTTTCATAGCATTTGAAAGACAAATGTTATATTGATTCTATGGCCTCAATGTATTGATAACTCTGTGCTAGGCACTGTGTATTACTATACACTGCAGTATATAAGTAGAATAGGTTATTATCTTTTTTTTTACAGATGAATAAACTGACAATCAAATTGAGAATCAATGTCTTGTTCAAAATTTTATAGCTAATAAATCATAAACCAGGGAGTATAAACTCAAATATTTTTTGTATTTTTAAAGTAATGCTTTTATTCCTGGAAAATGCTTTCTTCCTTAACTGACATCTACTGAAAAAAGGCTTCAGTAATCTGGAATTTAGAATGAGCTTCTCCCCAGATATAGGGAAACACAGACTGTATTACCCTTGGCCAGTGCTAACTTTCACTAGCTATTGGACATAGTTCTGCAACAGACTTACATGATTATCTTTTTTACTCCCCTTCTATTATTGCATACAACTTACTTCTAGGATATTTGTCATTTAAGTAATAATAATGAAAAAAAAAAGAATTGGGAACTGACATTAATTACAAGTAAAACTTTTTCTTCTAACAGAGAGAAGGAGAGAAGGATCATCAAGTGCGTTTGGCAGTTGGAAATGGTATGCGGAGTGATGTATGGAGACAATTTTTAGACAGATTTGGAAATATTAAGATGTGTGAGCTTTATGGAGCTACTGAAGGAAACATTTATTTTATGAACCACACTGGGAAAATTGGATCAGTTGGGAGAACAAATTTCTTTTACAGAGTAAGTACAGTAATTTCTTTATAAAAGAAATACATCAAGGTCTGGTGACTTTCTTTGTTGTGCTTGTCAATTATGGTAAATATCACTTTTTTTTTTAGTTGAGAACTTCTATAAATAAAGTAGTGGCCTCTAGGTGAGAGAAGGTGCTATGGGTTATGCAAAACTCAGTCATCTCCCACGGTTTCCCTCTATAATATGGGGATAACAATGTCTAATTTTTTGTTCAGTTTTTAAATATAATGATATATAATGTATTAATAGCATGCATAAGTCCTGATATGTATTGAGGATTTTCATTCCATTATTTCTAATTTTATCATTCATATCATTCAAAAATTCTGTACAGGTTCTTAATATATATATTTTCTTAAACTATTAATATTAATATGTCAAGATAACACTAAAATCCTAAAAGAAGCCAAAAAAACCACCTATTTATGAGTAAAAAACTAGTCGTTGGCTTCTCAATAAAAACCACAGAAGATAAAAGACAGTGGACAATATCTTCAACTGGCTTTGAGAAATTACTGGTAAACTAGAATTATATTCAACAGTAATATTTTTAAAATAATAAAGGTAAAAATAAAAATTCATAAAGCAAAATTGATATAACCTCAAGAGGAAACAAATCTTCAATAATGCAGACTTTTTCAGTATATAAAGGCCCCTGCATCTAACAACTTCAAAATACCCATTCTTTCAAGCACTTATGAAACATTTTATAAAAATTACTGGGCCACTTAAAGGAATTCCAACAAATTTCAAAGGATCAAATAAGCATAGATTATGTTCTTTGACAACAGTTTGAGATAGAAATAATTTTTTTAAAAAAGAAAACTAAATAATCTCCTATGTATTTGGAAATAAAACATTTCTAAATTGCCATGGGTTGAAGAAAAAATCGTAATAGAAATTAGAAGATATTATGAGCTCATAATAAAAATGTTACATTTACAATCTTGTGGAATCAGCTAAGAACAGCTGAAAATTTGTTGGGTGGAGCTAAATATCCATATCTGTAAGTTAATTTAAAGAAACTAAAATAAACTCAAAAGGAAGGAAATAATAAAGAGCAGAAATTAATGAAATAGAAAAGAAACATTCAGTGAGGAATATCAAAAGAAATATCAATATAATATTTTTAAAAGTAAAGAAGTGCATTCTGATTGTTAGAACACATAGTATCAGAAATGGAAAGGGGGACATTGCTAGACGCTTTTGGCCAGGGGTCCTCAAACTTTTTAAACAGGGTGCTAGTTCACTGTCCCTCAGACTGTTGGAGAGTGCGGCGCACATTCCACACATGGCACTGTGGGCCCCGGACCAGTCGGCTGCTAAGCAGAACAGGCAGCGGCAGCAAGAACACCCAGCGGGCCACATGTGGCCCATGGGCTGTAGTTCGAGAACCCCTGCTAGGCATTAAAACAATAAAATATGATTTTATTTAGTTTAATGAGTTGATTTTATTTAGTCGAATGAGTTCATATCAATAAAGTTGAAATTAAGAGATTACTTTGACAATTTTCTAGAAAATACAACTTACCAGTACTGACAAGAATTATCGCACTAAATAAAATAAACATACCCCAAAATTTTACCATAGCTCTAGATAGCTTCCCTGTTAAATGTCCTGAATATTAAAGAGCAAATAACTCTAATCTTACAGATTCTTTCAGAGAATACAAAAGGAGAGAAAACTCCCCAGCTCACTTTTTGACTCCCAAACCCGAAGTGATGGTACAAGAACAGAAGGTGACAGGCTGGTGCCAGTCACAGACATACATATATGAAGCAAGGCTTTGGGTGTTAATCTCTCTCCCCTCAGGTGTGTTTTCTCAGTGGCCTCACCGGTGCCCTGGTAGTGGCACTATACCATGACATTGCTGTTGATGTTTCCACAGAGCCATACTCAAACTTTTGAAAAGAGCTTTAAGAATTCTGTAGTGCAAACTTTGGTGCATTTGTATCACTTGCATTCCTAGCTTCTTTAGTTTTATAGATTAAGACTTCTGCATAATAAACTGCCCTACATCAAAGAACACCTGGAAGCAACAAAAAACAAGTGTTTGGTTTTCTACTCTGTGGAGATTTTCTTTTTAGTATCTGGAATTGACACACATGTTTTCATCCGCAGTGGTTCCCTTTTTAGCTGAGCTGCCTAGTCATAGCTGTTGTAAATCACACTAATGTTCTAATCCTAAAGAAGGTGCGAACTGTTTTTATAATGCATTATTTTAAGATTTTGAGGGTCTAGTTGACATCTCAGAAATGTACTTGTATTCTGAACAAAAGTATTTCAGGGAAATTTAGTACTGACATTGCTGAGTTTTTCATTCCTTGCAGTTAATTTCTCAATTTCATTGCACTGATTCCATTACAGATTTGGTAATCACATTGAGCCCTCTTTGTACAGCTGAATCATACTAAAGTAACCTTTCAATAAGAGCACACGAAGATTTATTTTGTATTACTGATTTGACTTCATTATAATTTTCTAATGTTTTAAATTTTCTATCAGACAGTAATAATATCAATAATATAAAAAGTCATTTTTTTGTCTCTGATTTATTAGGAGAACTTGGTTTTCAACTCAGTTTTCTTTTTCAGTTTGGAAATGAAAAAAAAAATCCTACCTAATACTATACATATGCTAGTCTTTTATCATTTTATTCACATGCTTTTTTGTTAGATGGCAGGTAGTCAGAAAAAGTTGCTCCAATAATTGTTTCATAATTAAGTGGAGAGATTGGCCAAGTGTGTCTCTCAGAAATGTCAGCCGGATGCGAGCTCATGCCTGCAGCCGCACAGGGAAAACTGCCTCCAGCACAGATGGAATGTCACAAGGGAAGGAGGAGAATAAGGCAGTGACACAGAGTTCGTGTGACCCCAGTGTTCTTTCCATATGCTGCACTTAACTATTTAAATGCATAAAACTGAAGAGATAGTGTCCCACATGTGCCCCAAGGCAGATAATATAAAACTTTTGGTGACAATGTATTTGAGAGACAAACCCAAGTAAAATTATGAGCTTCCTTCTCTTTCCTACAGTATTTTTTCCTGGGGAAAATAATTAGGAAGGGACAGACATGAAATCCATAGATGAAATAAAGCTTGAAATAAGGAATAAAATCAGTCTAAATAAAAGCAACTGAAAAAATATAAATTCACTTCAAGATAGTAAGTCCTCTGAAATGGCCAAGAAATGTTTAGAAAAACAAATTCCTGCAGGCTCAAAAAAATTGCTATATTATTCTCTATAAAAATAAGAGCTCAAATGAGAGGAAGGATCAAGGAAAATATAAATCAACAAAAGGAATGCAAAAGTAAGCAGGATCAGCTCAAAGAAAAAATAGAATAAAGGATGAACATATCACAGGAGATGAACACAACAGTAAAGGACTTAAAAATCAGCAAGACCATAAGCCCTGCAGGGGCAAGCTGGGTAGGGTTGAGGAGTCACATAAATACAATAAAAAGAACAAACAAATGATAATTAAAAATTAAGAAAAAGGATTTTGAAAACATAGGTGGTGATCTGACGTGCTTAATTGGTGTTCCTGCAGAAAAGAACAGATCAAAAAGAAAAATAATTATTTCAGCCCTAATAAAAGAAAACCTCCTTAAAGTAAAGCACTATAGTCCTGCAAAAAAAATATGCGGTACAAAATGAACATCAGAAAAATATATCCTGGTGAAATTAATGAACAAAAATTAAAGAACTATAAGGAGATGATGAGGCAGAAAAAGCAAAGGATGTATAAGACGTAACATGGTAAAGATGGGAAATATCTCGGGCATCTCTCAAAATAAAAACGAAACACTCAATGCCAGGAAAAAAAAATGAGAGAAATGTCTGTACCTAACAATTTTAGTTCTGGCTAAATGGTTTCTCAAGTATAAAGGCATCCAAGATGTTTTCTGAAAATCTTAATATTTACAGGAATATAATACTTTATCAAATTCACTGAGAAATTCTGGTCAACCTGAAGATAAAACGGAACTTAGAAATGAAGGATCACCTCCAGTTAAAATGTTGATGGTGAACATCGAAACCATTTACATATAGAGGATTGAACAGCTCTGAATTATATTTACACAGGGAATAGGAATATAAAACCCAACAATATAAAAATAATATAACACTAAGAAATGGAAGTTGGGTGGGAGGAGAGGAGGCAGTATAAGTGGTCTTTCACAGTGGTAAATCCATGGACACACTGTAAAGACAAAATATAAGATTCATAAAAAGGCTCATTTCTTAAACATTTTCATAAGATTTTTTCTTGTCTTAAAAGTAGGCATCTTTTAGGGACAAGGAAAACTAGCCAACTATAAAGTAAGGGAACAGTCTGTACAAGACCACCCTCACTTCTCACGTTAGTTGGGATTTGGGGAGTCCCTGAGACCACTCTTTGGTTTCATAATTTGCTAGAAGGACTCACAGAACTCGCTGACAGCTGTTACATTTGGATTACAGCTTATGACAGCTAAAGGGTACAGGTTAAAATCAGCCCAGGAATGAGGTGCACGAGGCAAGATCGAGGAGGGTAGCAGGATAACACTCTCAGTCGTCCTTTCTTGGGGAGTCAGAACGTCATTGCACTCCTAGAGTTGATGTGAGACAATACACATGGAGTATTAGCAACTAAGGAAGCTCACCTGAGATTCTTGTCCAGAGTTCTTTGGGGCTTGGTCATGCAAATCTGGTTGACTTCTATTTCCTGCCCTCAGGAAGGCAAGCGGAGTGACCCAAAGCCCCTACTCTACATGGCATTGTTGGTGAGGCACAGAGATCCTTTTCCAAACCATGTTGTTACTATCTGCTTGGCCCTAAGACAAACAAAGACACTTCTATCAAAAATGACAATCCAAAGGCTGATAGATTACCTCCCAGAAGATGAGGTCAGACCTGTTTGTAGGCAAGGCTAAATTCTTTACTACACAGGGACGGATATCTCAGTTCTAGGCCCAAGTCTGCCACTACTTGACTTTGTAACTTTAACAAGTTACTTTCCTTTGGGTTCAAAGTCTCCTCATGTCATAATTGAGGAAATAATTTTGTGTTCCTTTTCCAACTCATAAAGTTACAAGGCTGCATATGCACATAAGGGTACATAGAGAAAGTCCCAGGGCTGACTGTCATGATGGGCCCACCTGTGGTTGTGCTCTGGAGATGTACACACATACGTGGACATGAGCATTTAGGGATTTTGAAGGTAAGAAATCTATTTTTTTATATGTGTTACTATAATGCAGCCATTTCTATAATCTTGTAGGTAGAGACCTCTTGAAACCAGGAAGAAGGGAAATACTTCTAACTGAGCATTAATGCTCTGATTCAGACTCCTTCTAGAGGTGCTGTGATATATTTAATTTCATTTGGATTATAAAATTATTCAATTTTTGACTGTCAAGTTCCCTATATCTGATAACAGACACACTGAACAGTAATTTAATGTGGAATTACTCTCACCCGTATATATGAAATAACACTAAAGCTGGTATCACAAGTTGCTGGGTGATGAAATAAAGCATGTTAACACAGGAGAGAAAGAATGGATAATGAACAGGACCATGTTCTCTTTGTTCGAGATGATAGAGGCAGCTCCTGAACTTCTGGAATCTTTCTTTCTACTAGTCCATAGGCAAGTGGCCAATATCCTATTGTCCCGATCATAGACAAAGACAGATCAACAAGGTATCAGCTTGCATTTCAATAAAGAATTTTTACGTCTAGAATAACAATGCATTTGCTTCACTGCCTCTTTCATTGGCCCTAATCTTAAAATGGGATAATATTAATTTCTACTTCCTTGAGGGTTTAGGGATTGCGTTAAATGTAGCTCTTGAGCTCTCAGCACAGTGCCGGCACACAGCAAGTGCTCAGCAGTATTAGTCGCTGTCATTTGTATTTTAATTCAAATTGTGGTTCTAGTTTCATGCTAATTCGACTAATATTAAAAACCATAAATGTTAGTGCTTAATTTTTCATAATAAATAACACTCTCACATTTATCTCACCAATATTATTCATCTTTTCCACTTACTTGCTCTATTAATAGATTTGTTCATTTCTCTCCTTCACTCTCTCTCGCCCTTTTCCCTTCCCTCTCTCTTTCTCCTATTCTTTCTTATTATTTTCTCTCACTTCATTTTATTACCTTTATGTTAGTTTACTATGTTCTAATTCAGCTTAATAAGATTACTGGTTTCATTGGTCAGTAAAACTTCAGTTTTCTTATAGAAAAAGTGAGGGGGTTAAACTAAACCCAACCTGAAATTCTTCCCCAGGGTCAAACTTTGGTGGACATGCGAATCTCCATAACATGGTAACAACATGGACATTACAGGGCAGGCAAGCTGGAGATACTTGTGATGGGGAGAGAGTTGATTAGCTTGGCTGCCAATGGGATGAGGATGCTCTAACAAATCTGTCATCTTACACCACAAAAACATAACTAACTGTTAGTTTAAAGGCATTAAGGTGAAAAACCCAGGAGAAAAGGCCAAAGTAGTTTTCAAATAACTGTACTTTTTAGGCATTTGGTCACTTTTCTAAAGACTATAAGGAAAAAAATGAGCCACAAAATCTTTGTATTCACATAGAGCTTACATTTTAGTTTTATTAAAACTTTCCATTTCAAGGGTGACTGCAAAAATGATCCTCTTACCTGTAGTTGGTAGAGCTTGTAACTGAATGCCTAGAGTGTGTCTATGTCTTGGCATCATTCATTCATGATTAAAATTAGTGGTGTTTGGCTAAGGGAAAGTGCAACACAATAGAAATGAAATTAAATGCCAGTAAGTGAATGTTGGTCACTGATACCTTCAGTTTTGATTTTCAGATAATTTGTTTGATTTTGTATCCATAAAAGTTATTTGTTGTAATTCTAATATTATAATTATTTAATTTAATTTAAATAGTGTAATTATTCATATTCTAATTATTTATTTCAATTGAGCATAAAATCTATTACCAGTAGATGTCATTACATAAATAACCAAATGCTTGTTTAATTTTATTTCTTCAGCTTTTTTTCAAATTTGAATTGATAAAGTATGATTTTCAGAAAGATGAACCCATGAGAAATGAACAGAATTGGTGTAGCTGTGTGAAAAAAGGTAAGACTTGTATGTAAAGAGGTCTCCTCAAGTGAAGTTTCTCAAATTCCACATAGAGTTGTCCCTCATTAGAGCAATTGGGTCCAGGACCTCTGGTGGGTATCAAAATCGACAGATTCTCAAGTTTCTTATATAAAACAACATAGTATTTACATATAGTTTACATACATCCTCCCAAATACTTTAAACAGATTACTTATAATAGCTAATATAATGTAAATGATATGTAAATAGTTGTACTGTATTTTTATTTTTATTTATTTTATATTTTTTATTTTAGTGTATTATGGGGGTACAAATGTTAAGGTTACATATATTGCCCATGCCCCCTCCCCCCTCGAATAAGAGCTTCAATCGTGTCCATCCCTCAAATGTTGCACATCTTACTCATTTGGTTGTATATATCCATCCCCTCCTCCCCCCACCACCCTCCCAACAACCGATAAATGTTACTCCTATATGTCCACTTAGGTGTTGATCCGTTAATACCAATTTGCTGCTAAGTACATGTGGTGCTGGTTTTTCCATTCTTGAGGTACTTCACTTAGTAGAATGGGTTCCAGCTGTATCCAGGAATATACAAGAGGTGCTATATCACCATTGTTTCTTAAAGCTGAGTAGCATTCCATGGTATACATATACCACATTTTATTAATCCACTCATGAATTGATGGGCACTTGGGTTGTTTCCACAGCTTTGCAGTTGTGAATTGTGCTGCTATAAACATTCGAGTGCAGGTGTCTTTTTCATAAAGTGACTTTTGATCTTTTGGGTAGATGCCCAGCAATGGGATTGCTGGATCAAATGGTAGATCTACTTGTATCGCTTTAAGGTATCTCCATATTGCTTTCCACAGAGGTTGAACTAGTTTGCAGTCCCACCAGCAGTGTAGGAATTTTCCTCTCTCTCTGCATCCATGCCAGCATTTGTTGTTTGGGACTATTTGATAAAGGCCATTCTCACTGGAGTTAAGTGATATCTCATTGTGGTTTTGATTTGCATTTCTCTGATGATTAGAGATGTTGAGCATTTTTTCATGTTTGTTGGCCATTATTCTGTCATCTTTTGAGAAGTTTCTGGTCATGTCCTTTGCCCATTTCTTGTTAGGGTTATTTGATTTTTTCTTGCTGATTTTCCTGAGTTCTAAATAGATTCTAGTTATCAGCCCCTTATCAGATGTGTAGCTTGCAAAAATTTTCTCCCATTCTATGGTTTGTCTGTCTGCTTTCTTAACAGTTTCCTTGGCTGTGCAGAAGCTTTTTGATTTGATCAGGTCCCATTTGTTTATTTTTGTTGCTGTTGTGATTGCCTTTGGGGTCTTCTTCATAAATTCTTTGCCTAGGCCAAAGTCTAGAAGGGTATTTCCAACATTTTCCTCTAGAATTCTAATAGTTTCACACCTAAGGTTCAAGCCTATTACCCAGTGTGAGTGGATTTTGTGAGAGGTGAAAAGTGTGGATCTTGTTTCAGTCTTCTACATGTGGCTATTCATTTTTCCCAGCACCATTTATTGAATAAGGATTCTTTTCCCCAGTGTATGTTTTGTCTGCTTTGTTGAAGATTAGTTCGCTATATGAGGATGGTTTTATATCTGGGTTCTCTGTTCTGTTCCACTGGTCAATGTCCCTGTTCTTGTGCTAGTAAAAAGCTGTTTTAATGACTATACCCTTGTAGTATAGTTTGAAGTCTGGTAAATTGATACCTCCTATTTTGTTTTGATTGCCTAGAATTGATTTTGCTATACAGGGTCTTCTCTGGTTCCATATGAAGCATAAAATTATTTTTTCTATATCTGTGAAAAATGATGATGGTATTTTGATAGGGATTACTTTGACTCTGTAGGTCACTGTGGGTAGTATAGATATTTTAACAATGTTGATTCTGCCCACCCATGAGCATGGTATATTCTTTCATCTGTTTACATCCTCTACTATTTCCTTCTTCAGTGTTTCATAGTTCTCCCTGTAGAAGTCTTTTACCTCCTTAGTTAAATATATTCCAAGGTACTTTATTTTCTTTGTTGCTATTTTGAAGGGAATTGAGTCTTTGATTTGGTTCTCACTTTTACTGTTGTTGATTTTTATGAATGCCTCTGATTTCTGTGTATTGATTTTGTATCCTGAGACTTTACCAAATTCGTTTATCAGATCAAGGAATCTCATAGTTGAATCCTTGGGGTTTTCTAGGTATAATACCATGTCATCATCAAACAGTGAGAGTTTGATCTCTTCTGCTCCCATTTGGACACCCTTAATTCCACTTTCTTTTCTGATTGCTGTAGCGAGGACTTCCAGCACTACGTTGAACAGAAGTGGAGATAGTGGGCAACATTATCTTGTTCCAGTTCTAATTGGGAATGCTTTCAATTTTTCCCCATTCAGTATGATATTGGCTGTGGGTTTGTCATATACGGCTTGTATCATTTATAGGTATGCCCTGTCTATGCCTATTTTGTTGAGCGTTCTTATCATAAAAGGGTGTTGAATTTTGTCAAATGCTTTCTCTGCGCCTATTGAGAGGATCATATGATCTTTGTTTTTGCTTCTGTTTATATGGTGAATTACATTTATAGATTTGTGTATGTTGAACCATCCCTGCATCCCTGGGATGAAGCCCTCTTGGTTGTGATGAATTATTTTCGTGACAAGTACCTGGATTTGATTGGCTAGGATTTTGTTGAGAATTTTTGCATCTATATTCATAAGGGATATTCGTCTGTAGTTTTCTTTTTTTGTTGCATCCTTCCCTGGTTTTGGTATCAGGGTTATGTTCGCTTCATAAAATGTGTTGGGGAGGCTTCCATCCTTCTCGATGTTGTAGAATAATTTCTGCAGGATAGGCACCAGTTCTTCTTTGTAGGTGTGGTAAAATTTGGGTGTGAAACCATCTGGTCCAGGACTTTTCTTTTTAGGAAGGTTTTTCTATTGCTGTTTTAATTTAAGTACTTGATATTGGTCTGTTCAGGACTTATATTTCTTCCTGGTTGAGCCTAGGGAAGCTGTGTGTTTCTAAGAAATTGTCCATTTCCTCCACATTTTCCAGTTTGTGTGCATAGAGGTTTTTGTAGTATTCATAAATGATATCTTGTATCTTCATGGCATCAGTTGTAATTTCTCCTTAATTTTTCCTGATGGAGCTTATTAGAGATTTTTCTTTTCTGCTTTTCGTTAGTCTACCAGTGGTGTGTCAATTTTGTTCATTTTTTTCAAAGAACCAACTTTTTGTTTTATTAAACTTCTGTATAGTTTCCCTGTTGTCAATTTCATTTAGTTCTGATTTTATCTTAATGATTTCACTTCTTCTGCTGGGTTTGGGGTTGGTCTGTTCTCTTTTTTCCAGATTTTGAGATGATTCATTAGGTTGTTTATTTGTGAACTTTTCGACTTTTGGATATAGGCATTTATGGAAATAAATTTTCCTCTCAGGACTGCTTTAGCTGTGTCCCACAGGTTTTGGTAAGTTGTGTCACCTTTGTCATTTAGTTCAAAGAATCTTTTTATTTCCATCTTGATTTCCTCATTTATGAAGTGATCATTCAGCAGAAGGTTGTTTAGTTTCCATGACTTTGTGTAGAAATCAGGACTCCTGTTAGGATCGATTTCTACATTTATTCCATTGTGGTCTCAAATGATACATGGTGTAATTTCTATTTTTTAAAATTATTTGAGATGTGCTCTGTGTCCTAAGATATGGTCAATCTTATAGAATGATCCATGAGCTCATAAGAAGAATGTATATTCAGTGGTTTTGGGGTAGAATGTCCTGTAAATGTCAGTCAGGCCCATTTGTTCTAGGGTTCTGTTTAAGTTCATTATTTCTTTGTTGATTTTCTGTTTGGAGGATCTGTCCTGTGCTGTCAGTGGGGTGTTAAAATCTCCAACTATTATGGGGTTGTTGTTTGTCCATTTGTTTAGATCAAGTAGAGTTTGATTTATGAATCTGGGTATACCAAGGTTGGGTGCATGTATATTTAGAATTGTTATGTCTTCTTGTTGAACTGTACCCTTCATTATTATATAGTGATCTTCTTTGTCTTTTATTACTTTTGTTGATTTAAAAACTAAGTTATCTGTAATCAGCACCACCACACCAGCTTTCTTTTGGCTTCGCTTGAAATATCGTTCTCCACCCCTTTACCTATAGTCTAATTGCATCCTTGCAGGTTAGATGTGTTTTCTAAAGGCAGCAGATACTTGGCTTGTGTTTTTTTTTTTTTTTTTTCCCATTCGGCCAGCCTGTGTCTCTTGAGTGGGGAGTTCAAGCCATTCACATTTATTGAGATAACTGATAGGTGGGGCAGATTTCTGTTCATTATGTTGGGTTGAGCTTTGTTACTTTGTTTTTTCTCTTGAGCCATTGTAGTATCTGGGCTTTGATCTTTAGCTTTGAGTAGATTTACACTGTTTTGAGTACTTCTTGAAGGGCTGGTCTTGTCTTGGAGAATTCCCTCAGTCTTTGCTTATCTGAGAATATCTTGATTTCTCCTTCATATACAAAACTTAGTTTTGCAGGGAATGAGATTCAGGGCTGGGCATTGTTTTGTTTCAGAAGAGTGAGAATGGGTCCCCGGTCTTTCCTTGCTTGTCAAGTCTCAATAGAGAAGGCTGGTGTTATTTGAATTGGCTTTCCCTTATATGTCACTTGCTTCTTTCGTCTTATAGCTCTTAGAAGGTACTGTTTAGTTGATATTTTGGTCAGTCTAATGACTGCATGTTGTGACATCTTCGTATTTGCATTGAATCTCCCAGGGTTCCTCTGAGCTTCTTGAACTTGCATATCGAGATTTTGAGCAAGGCCTGGGAAATTTTCCTCTATTATATCTTCAAATAGCCTGTCCAACCCTTGAATGTTTTCTTCTTCCCCTTCTGGTAACCCTATGACCCTCACATTAGGTTTCTTCACATAATCCCACATCTCTTGTAGGCTTTGCTCTTTTCCCTTGTTTCTCTACTCCATCTCTGTGACTGAATTATTTAATTGGAAGGTGTTATCTTCAATCTCTGAGATTCTTTCTTCTGTTTGATATACCCTGTTCTTGAGGCTTTCTACTATATTTCGTAGTTCCATGAATTGATTCTTCATTTCCAGGAGTTTGGTTAAACTTTTCTTCATTGTATCTATTTCTTTAGTGAATTTTTGTTCCAAGTCCTGGAGGCTTTTTGTGGTTTCTTTGTGTTGGTTATCGAGTTGTTCTTGTAGGTCGTTGAATTTTCTTATGATCCATATTTGAAATTCCTCTTCTGTCATTTTGGTTGTCTGATTTTGGTTGGTGTCCATTTCTAGGGGGCTGGTGCTCCTCTTTGGGGGTGTGGTTTCCATTTGGTTCTTCATATTTCCAGAGTTCCTTCACTGATTTCTTCCCATGTTGATCTGTTGTTGCTTTTTTCCTTTAGGTTTTCATTTGGGTATTCATACGCCTTGTTTAGTTTCTGAGCTGGTTGGTGTAGTCTGTGGGTGAGGTTCGACCACTCCCTGTATGATGAGTCAGTAGGTGCCATGTAAAGGATGTGCAGGATGCCCTCCCTGTCAGTAGGTGGCGCTTGCTTGGAGGAACAGGCTATGCTGTTGTTTTTGTGTCCTGTAACCTCTCTTGTTCCTCTAGAGGGGCACTCTAGTGCCTCAGGTGGTGGGTGGGGCCCTGGGACTTCCAGGTGTGTCCTTTTCTCCCCCTCAGTGAGGACTGTTCTAGGAGAGAGTCTGGGCGGAGCTGGGTTGGGTAAGCCTGCCCTCAGGCACCACCAATGTCGTTAGCAGGGGTCAAAGTTCTGTTCTCTGCTTCCAGCAAAAGCTGTCAGGGCGGGGCTGGAATGGTCCAGCTCAGCCAGAAAGTCTTCGTGTGGGCGTGGGGCTGTCTGAGACCCGCAGTCTGGAGCGGGCCTCACTTCTTTCCATCCTCCCCAACTCCGCAGCTACTCCTGGGCCTCTGCCAGCAGGCCAGACCACACGCCACCAGGCCTCCCCGGATTGTGATGCCGGCGGGGTGGTTCCCTGCGGAGAAACGCTGCCTGGGCTGGGCGCACGGCCTCCCTTTGGGAGGAGGGTTGCCCTGTAAGATGCTGATCTGCCCCTGAAGGCACACACACCTCAGTAGGCTGTTCACGTATATCCCTTCTGTGTCCCGGGCAATGCGAGACCTCAGTGGACGGGATCTGGTCTGCAGGTCTGACCTCTGGGCCCCAGCATTCAAACTGTATCCACACCAGGGAGAGGAGTGCCAGTCCCAATTCACCCACAGGGAGCCCAAGCTGGGTCTATGTCTCTCAGCCTCAGGGTCTGCCCCGTTCTCCTGGGAACACCGTGCCAGCAGCACCTGGGAGGGCTGGCAGGTAGGGAGCTCACTGCATGAGTTCCCCTCAGTCAGCAGTAGGGCCCCAAAAGGGAAGGTCCCATTCCCTGGAGGTGCCTCAAGCTGGTGGCTGTATTGTCCCTCTCAGCAGCCACGGATAAGTTCAGTGGAGGGGAGAATGAGGCAACATGGCGCCTGCCTTGCAGCTTGGGTCTGTGCACACAGAGGTGCCTGAGGGAGTTGGGAGCCTGGTGCCGCGTCCGCTACAGGCTTACCACTCACTGTCGGTGGCCGTCTCTGGGCTGGTGTCCGAAGGTCTCTCCACCCGCTGGGGAGCCCACCAGCTGTCTGAGATGCAGGGAGGGGAAAGTTAAGTGCTCCACCTACCCTTGCCACTGGTCTCCAGGCTACTCGGAAGTTCTCTGCTTCCGATTCTCCTCCCGTGGAGTCTCCCGTGGTCTCAGGTACCCCTCCTTCCATCCCTCGTCTGATGTATGCTTGTCTTCTTGCTTCTTTCTTCTAATTTCTGCAAGAATCTGTCTTTTCTGCAGAGACACTCTGTCTGGTGGTGCTTTTCCTCCGCCATCTTGATTATCCTCCTGTATTTTTAAATTCGTGTTATTTTTTATTGTTTTTTCCCAAATATTTTGGAGCCATATTTGGTTGAATCCATGGAGGCAGATATGCAGATACAGAGTACTGACTATAATACTAAATTAGCAGTAGTAGTATTTGCTGACGAAAAAGTGACTAGGTTCACTATATAATTTGTCTTCTTTGAATTTTGGTACTAATGGAATGGTTGAATTATTAGGTGTTAGAGCCCCAACTGGGTCACCAAGTTGATAAATTGTTAAAATTAAAAAGTGGTTACTATTTGGCTCATATTTTCTTTAATCCACCACTTATATTTTGTAACAATGACATATATCTAATGTCCTAGATCTCTTGGGAAAATATGATTGAGGAATTAATGAGATGTAGCTCATAAGACCATTATTTTATTATATCACCCTATACTACTATATTCAAGAAAGAAACAGGAATTTGCAGAGTTTTGCCCTGAAGGAATGTGTGGACTCAATGGTTCACTTATTAGAGGCTGCTATCATGGAGGAGCTCTCAAATCTCCGGTAGGGATTTTTCCAGGAAGGCTTCCCAGTATCTCAAAATCTGCGAGCTTCCCTGTATCTTGAAACACAAGGCAAGGCAAATATGACTCACAGGATGGAAGCCAGACACAATGAGTACACTTTGCCTAGAGGTACACCCCGGTGGTTATAAACAACCTGTTTTATAGAGATGGGTTTCTTGCTCTCTCCTTTTCGTCTACCTTTAAGTCCACAATACTAATCAAGGAAATATAGAGTCACTATACCTCTTTTGTTATACCTCTGTTAATTGACAACTACCTCTTAGAACTTAGAAGTTAGCCACTGAATGACTTTGTACCTATTTGTTCACCTAGATAGATTAGAAGCCCTTTGAGAGGACTTTTGACCCCTACCTACTACCTGTTTCCCCTAGCAACTGCATTCCCTGATATGCAAATATGTTACCCTGACAACCGATAATTGATGTCTGTGATTATAAAAACCTGTGTGAATCTAACCATATTGCTGGACATTCATGGGGATATGTCCAGTCTCCTGAGTGACCCTGCTGTTATATCTGATCTTTTTATATAAAGCTATATACCTTAGTCTCTGTGTATTCTTTTATTCTATTTCCTATCAATTTCCTTATCCTCTGTAGAGACCCCTATCTTAGGTACCTGGCTCTGTGGGAAGAAGTAGCTGATCTCCTAAGGGACCTGCCTCAAATACTGTCCCCCGCATAGATCACCAAAGTATAATATAAAAATTAATTTATGATTCTGGATATAGTAGAAAGTCAGGCCAACTTGAATTTTAACCTAAGCTCTGACACTTAAAAACTGAGCAACTTTGGGCAGGTTAGTCAACCAGAGTCTCATTTTCTTCATATGTAGAAAATAGGTGACAATATTTATTTTGTGGTTATCATTGACAAATGAGATTATGTAAATTCCTACAGAAGGCCTGGCATGGGACTTGGTTCCTTCCTCCCTCTCTTCTGCCTGTCTATCCCCTCCTCTACCAAGGTAGATTTTCTTACAATTTTGGGTTAGAAATTCCAATGAAAGCATGTGCCCGTATTAACTTGCTGTTATGTATAATCAAACTAGAAAATAAAATGTAGAGATGTACACTTAAAGTTCCAGTCTGAATAAATCTGGTCAAAATTACTGTTTACTGCTTCTGGATATGTTTAAATGACATTTTAATGAAAACTTTACTTCAAATGTATAGATGAAAGTTGCAGACCTGTTTTATTTTCTGGTAGCTGAAAGATTGAAAAAATATTACAAGCTTTATCTATCAAAAAACAAGTCTCCCAAATTTCTGTATTTGAAGCCTAAGGGCATTTAGCAAGTATCTTCTCTAATTCAACTCTATGGATACTGTCCAAGAAAAAAGCACTTTCTGAAGGTATTACAAAGAACTTAAACACACTTTTATAGTTTTTATTTATTATAATTACAATAATATCTGATATTGGAACTTGAATCTCAGAACTGTGCTTATACAGCCTCAGAGTTTCTTTAAAAACCAGTTGACCCCAAATATCTGCTTTACTATTTTCGAATTCTCATTATGAGCTACTCCAGTATTTTTGTTTCCCTTAAGGCCTTATGTCTTCACAATGTAAGACAAAGCAATAAGCTTTAATAAGTAAGCCCCCAAATCATAGAGATGTAATTTGAGTTGTATACTTCATTCCTCTGGGTGCTAGGTCCTTCCCTCTGAAATAGGGATTATAATATCAATTTCAAAGGATTTATATGAAGAACAAGCAAGGTGACAGTTGCAAAGGGCTCATGTAAGTGCCCAATAAACATTGCTATCATCATTTTATTAAAATTGTAATTATGGTTGTTATTATGGTTGTTATTTATAGATGTCAGTGTTATCATGTACATAATCCAAAACAAAAACAGCCACTGGTCTATCCACCCAGGAAGTAAAAGAAATTTAATGCATCTTTTCTTTCCATTCAGTTCCCTTTTGGTTGGTTTTTCCAAAGTAGTTTGTGTTTGTGGTAATTGGTAAAAGGATGCACTAGGTGTAGGTACCAAGTATAAGTGACGTCAAATCTAGAAATACATTCAGAGGAAAGTGAGATGACCGATATTGGTTGTGTTGGCCAGATATAATTTAGATATGTGAGTGGTGTGTGTAATAATAATTTTAATCAGATAACTGCAAAGATGCCCTTCCCTTGCAGGAGAACCCGGACTTCTCATTTCTCCAGTGAATGCAAAGCATCCCTTTTTTGGTTATGCTGGGTCTTACAAACATACAAAAAACAAATTGCTTTTTGATGTTTTTAAGAAAGGAGATGTTTATTTCAACACAGGAGACTTGATGGTCCAAGATGAGAATTTCCTTTATTTTTGGGACCGTATTGGAGATACGTTCAGGTATGAAATATCAAAGGATGCACAGCTCGTCTGTGATTGTGAGCCGTGCTTCTATAGAGACACCAGAGACCACACGCTCGTTAGCTTTTAGGGCAGGCAGAGCTCCATAATGTTCTCTCACTTAAAAATTTATTGGCCATTTTTTCCTAGATTGAGCTACAAGTTAAATTTTGATGTAAAATTTTATAATTATTTTAATGAGCCAGTTTAGTTCAAATCAATGTTCTCCTTTTTTAGGATATAAAACTGGCAGACAGATGAGAAATCTAAATGGTAGTGTTAAAACAGAAAACCAGTTTAGTCAAATATGGTCTAATTCTTAACCTAATGATAAAAAATTAGAACAGCAAAATTCCCCTATGTTACATTTTTAAAAATTCTCTAAGATTATTTTAGGCTTATGAAATTATTTCGCTTTACTAGCCAATGACTAAGTAAAGCATTCAACAAATGCTTGAATGAATAAGTTACTTCCTATATCCTTGCCTTCTTGTACTATACTCTAAACTCACTTTATGCAAAATTATGTTAATTAAAATAAAATATTTATGTGCATTAAAGGAGCCTTAGGGTTTAATATCTAGAAATTAAAGTGGGCGAGTATACTGAAAGACAACTGTAGCTTTGCTTTCGTCAGAGACAGGGAATGATTTGCACCTAACTGTTGTTATTTTACAAAATAAAGATTTTTGCAATGATAATCCTTATCACTACTTTATTTTCATGTGTATTATAAAACATTTTACTGTAAGCAATTATATTAATGAGATATAAAGTCATTTTAACTGAAAAACAGATGCTGATTCTGTTCAATTACTGACAATGTGCTTCCTTAGAAATATCTTTCATTTTGAAAACTACAATTAGTATTGATTACTGGATGCTTAGAGGAGCCAAATGCAAGACATTAAAACTAAAACTGGCTATCTAGTTCTTCAAATACAGGTGCACTAACTGGAATTTGTTTTTTATTTAGATGGAAAGGAGAAAATGTTTCAACCACAGAGGTTGCAACTGTTACTGGAATGTTGGATTTCATACAGGAAACAAACGTCTATGGTGTGGCCGTGTCAGGTATAACTATATTTCAGATTTTGGAAAGATGCTCAGGATAGAATGTGATACTGTTCTTTAGTTTTATAACAATCTCACTAATTCAACATTTTAATTTTTATGTATTGAGATAAACATCTGAGTCTTGTCTTGGCAGATAATGCCCTTGACCAACCTAACAAACTTCATGGTCATATCAGGGGAAAGGTACCAATTGAATTTTAATGCCTGTGTTTATTTTTAAGCAGAGCTTGAAAACTCTGGTCAGTGACTCACTGCTTGAAAATTATTATAGCTTTTCAGTAGTCTGTTATCTTTCTCTTTATGACTAGAGTTTGTACATGTAGTACATACTAAACAGGAAGGTGATACACATTAAATATTTAATAACACTACTTGTATGTACTTAAGGTGGGTCATTTAAAAAATATTTAAAATTTTTTTCTCATTATTTTTATAAATATGCATATGAGGATCATCTCAGGATACTGAAAATAGCACAGAAAAGTGACTTATTTAAAGTCACAGGACAGCCATTCTCCATTTTCCAGCTGATGCTTCTAAGTGCAGGGGATGCGAGCTCTGGGAGTGTTTCGGTATGGGAGCGGAGAAAGGGGATGTTTATTTAATGCTAGAGAAAGGCTCCAGAATGTTCTGATGCCCTGTAAAGATCCATAGGTGATAAGCAGTCAATGAGCTGTGAAATTAATTATGGAAATACTGGTTTCTGGTTTCTTAACTTAAAAATATTCCCTTTAATTTTTTTTTGCATTAATGCGTAAAATGTACATTTCTACATCTGCCTTAAAATAAATGTTTCCTTTCTTAATATTTGTGTTAGTGGTGTTAGGATGTAAATTATAGTTAACTTACAGTGTTTTCCATTCCATCTATTTTATTTCTGTAGTGTAGACAGGAATAGACTCTGGTCTTCTTTATTCTTAAATTGTTTCTAGAGAGCAAATAATATGCTCAGGGAAGAACACAGATCCCCTTATGCTAGGTTGCCTTGTTATCACTGCAATAGATTTAATGTCGCTATAATGATTAGTAGGTAAGTAACAGAATTAATTTTAAAAAATTAATCTAGTAATTACAAGATTGACTCTATTTCAAACTTTTTTTTTTTTTTAGGTTATGAAGGAAGAGCAGGAATGGCTTCTATTATTTTAAAACCAAATAAGTCTTTAGATTTGAAAAAAGTTTACGAGCAAGTTGTAGCATCTCTACCAGCTTATGCCTGCCCAAGATTTTTAAGAATTCAGGTAATTTTACTGTTTGAATTTACTATCAAGTTTAAGACCAGAACATCAGGAGGTAGTTTCATTGTAAGAGCAGTTAGGAGCATGAGGACGCAGGGCTGGTGCCGCGTCTGGTGGCCTGGTCCACAGGGAGCACGACGGAATGCTGGGCAGATGTGTCTTTGTCCTGATTATAGAATTGCTCTGCTCCTCTTCAGTCAGGATCTCAGAGCAGAATGTCCCAGCGATAGTGGCAAGCCAAAGCCGTGTCTTACACATGCCTTGTGAAGACATTTAGTGCTAAGTGCCTAAAATTAGGTTCTACCAAGGAGACATCAAGTAGTCTGCAGGATGTATGCAAAACCTAAATGCAATTGGCTTTGAGCAACTCTGTTTTTAAGTTTCTTGTCATTCTGTTCAACCTCTCCCTCACCTGGACCTTGTATTTAGGGAATTCTAAGTTTAGTTATTTTTGGATGAAGGCTCTCTCTTGTTAGGTTACTAGTATAAAGTACATTGAAAAGAAAACAAATTTACTTAACTACTGGGTAACTTTAGTTACTCAACCATTGATTATCTGTTAACATCCAATCACATAGACTTTTTCTGAATATATTTGATATATCACAATTAGATCCCCAATGGAGCAATAGACTGTATCATATTCAGTTTTAAAGCATTTACCAAGCAATCCTCATAGCAAAGTCACTACTTGTCCAATGAGACATATCATCTGAACTGCCATAAATACATATTTCATTTTCATTTTTTACTTTTCAGAGTTTTTATATACATTGTCTCAGATTATTTTCACAACAATCCTCTGTAATACTAAAGATAAGTAAATATGAAGCAGAACTAATATATTTTTATTGAAACTTGTATAGAAATGGCTGTATATTTACATACAGTTATAAGAAATAACAGAGAGAGATCCTGTATGTCCTTTACCCAGTTTTCCCCAAGGATAAAATTTTACAAATCTATCACAGTGAGGATATTGACATAATCTACCCATCTTATTAAAATTTCTCCTATTTGACTTGCACTCATGTATGTGTATTTTCCATACACCTTATCGCCCATGTAGCTTCATGCATCCGTGACCACAGTAAGGATATGAACATTGCAACACTCCAAGGATCCCTCATGTTGTCCTTTTATACCCACATGCACCTCCTTTCCCTCCCTCCTGACCCTACCCCATAAGTAATGTATTTTGATGGAATAGAACCTTGATACAGCAAATACTATTTTAAGTATTTTCCCCCTATGGCTACTTAAAATTCACTTTCATTAAGCTGAAGAAAATATTTTGGCATAGGACTACTCTAGAAGACTACATTAGCCTTGAACAAATTTAGAAAATATTTCAGGAATATTAAACACCTAAAAAGAACGTGGGCCATGACTGTTATGTTTATTACAGTATTTTCTATAGTTAGCACAAAGCCTGACACTTTATTTATTGAATAAATGTGTTATGATAATAAATAATCTGATGAAAGGAATGCAAAAGTAAAAGTTACTTCTAACAAAATGAGTAAAACTATCTTATTAAAAATTTAGTGCAAATTAAAAAAAGAACCCTTTTTGTCAGTAATGTCTAAAAATTTTTTTAAATGTGCTAATACTCAGTATAGCTGGGATAAAACTAACTTTGTCCATTCCTTCTGTTTGTGGAGACACAAGTTGTTATAAGCTCTCTAGAAAACAATTTGGTGATATGTGATCAGATCCCTAAGAGTTTGCATATGTTTTGACTTATAATTTCACTTTCAGAAATTTATCCTTAGACAGTAATCAAAGATGCATAAATGTTTTATATGAAGACATTTTTCAAAGTATTATTTATGGTAGTAAAATTTTGATATTCTCCCTAAGTTGAAGAATGAGGGCAAGGCCACTTAAAATATAATTAAATGAGATCTTATAAAACCATTTTTAAAAGTGCTATTTTGAAGAAAATTATAGGACCTAGGAAAATATACTTTGTATAATATTAAGTTTAGAAAAAGCAGGACACCAAACTGTATGAACACAGCAGGCTTCCGGTCTGTTAAGAAAGAGGAAAGCACATGCGTGGCGGGCGCAGCCTGGCGGGCGGGCGGGGCGAAGCTGAAGCCAAGTCCGCTGGAATTAGTCCAGAAGGGTGAAGGAAAGTAGCCGGGTCACTCGGAATTTTACGTGGGTCCCTACGTGCCATCCCATTTAAACAGGTTGTTTTCCTGTCCCTCAAACTCCCACAAAGAAATATGCTGTCTCCTTTAAATGCCTTAAAGCAGAGATTCTTAAGCTTTCTAGATTCGTGGTGCCTTTAGTGTCTCAGTAATTTTTTTTATAGCACTCTTGGGTCAAAACAAATACCTAAACCTTTGTTTATTCACTAGTTAAAACAAATACATAAGTGTTTAGGTTTAACAAATTAGTAGCCATTTGAAAAAATAATGTATATCAATCAAAAGGAAAAATACTTTCATCTCGTGTTCAAATGAGCACAGTCACTCCCTATGGAGATGTAAGATGGGCACTGTGCAGTTCTTCCCCAACTTAATTCCATGTTCCAACATGATTTTGGGCTGTACTTGCTTTTTAGTACAGCAACCACCAAAAACCCAATTTTGCAAAGATATGGCTTCATTGAATGAAAAGTATCATAAACTACTTTGAAACTATAAACTACCTTGAGCTGGTAGTTTGTGAGTGGTGACCAGTGGGACCACAGATACCAGTGGGTTTCCCTTGAAAACTTAATGTATTCTGTTAGGCTGCTGGAAACTCACTGAGGTGTTCCCAGTTTGGGTTTTAGGGTATCCTGTACCCCCTGTGGTTCTTGCAGTATGCTGCGTCGTATAATGATTTGTGTATACTTGTAGAAATTGCTTTTATCTCCTTAGTGTCTCATAGCATTCTCTATACATAATATTGAATTGGTATTGAATCCAAGAGATAGCCTATGTGTTTTTTTTATTACTTCATATTATGGGGGTACAGATATTATTAGGGTTGCATATCTTGCCCCTGCCCCCCTGCCCCACCCCACTATGCCAGAGCTTCTAGTGTGTCCCGCCTCCAGGTAGTGCGTACTGCACCCCCGTGTAAGTGCATGTCCTTCCCTCCTCCCCCCTTCCCCCTGCCCACTTCCCCATTACAGATTTTTTTCTCAGACATTTTGGTTACAATGTGTATCTTTACCTCTCCCTAAAAAGTCATAGAGGTAATCCCTTCTCCCTACAATGCTCACCACTTCCTTAAAATGTGGGTCTCCCCCCTAAATCCCTATTGAACACTACCCTTTTTTGAGCACCATAGTTTTAATCAGTCAGTACCAATTTGATGGCGAGTAGATGTGTAGCCCATTTTCCAGATCTTGTGTCATCTCGCTTTGTATTACAGGCTTAAGCGTAATCCAGGATAGCATAAACGGTGCTAGCTCACTGTCGTTTCTTAGGATTGAGTAATGTTACACTGTGAGCATATACCACATTTTAGTTATCCACTCATGAATTGACAGGCACTTGGGTAGTTTCCATGACCATGCAAAAGTGAATTGTGCTGCCATAAACATTCGGGTGCAGATGTCTTTATAATAGAATGTCTTATGCTCTTTGGGGTAGATGCCCAACAATGCTATTGCTGGGTCTAATGGTATTTCTATTTCCAGCTGTTTGAGGTATCTCCAAATTCTCTTCCACAGAGGTTGCACTAATTTGCAGTCCCACCTGCAGTGTAGGAGTGTTCCTGTCTCTCTGCATCCTCGCCAGCATTTGTTGTTTTGGGATTTCTTGATACAGGCCATTCTCAGTGGGGTTAGGCGGTATCCCATTGTGATTTTGATTTGCGTTTCTCTAATGATTAGAGAATTTGAACATTTTTTTATATGATTGCAGGCCATTATTCTGTCTTCTTTGTAGAAGTTTCTGTGCATTTCCATTGCCCAGTTCTTGATGGGATTGTTTGATTTTTTCTTGTTTATTCTTTTAAGTTCTAGGTAGATTCTTTTTATTAGACCTTTATTGGAAGTGTAGCGAGCAAATATTTTCTCCCACTCTGTGGGTTATCTATTTGCTCTAATGATCATTTCCTTGGCAGTGCAGAAACTTTTTAATTTTATCAGATCCCATTTGTTTATTTTTGATGCTGCAGTGATTACCTTGGGGGTCTTCCTCATGAATTCTTTGCCTAGACCAATATTTGATAGGGTTTTCCCAACATCTTCTTCTAGGATTCTTAAACTTTCATGCCTTAGGTTTAGATCTGTTATCCATCTGGAGTGAATTTTTGTGAGACGTTGGGATCCTGATTTGCTATTCTACATGTTGCTAACCAGTTTTCCCAGCACCATTTATTGAAGAGAGAATCATTTCCCCAAAGTATATTTTTGTCTGCTTTATCAAAGATTAAGTTACCGTATACAGATAGTTTCATCTCCGGAATCTCAGTTCTATTCCAGATATTAATGTTTCTGTTCTTGTGCCTGTACCCGGCAGATTTAACTATTATTGCTTTATAGTACAACTTGAAGTCAGGAAGACTGATCCCTCCCAGTTTGTTCTTCTTACTTAAGATTGCTTTGGCTATACATGGTTTTCTCTGGTACCATACAAAGCGAAGAATTATTTTTTCTAGGTCTGTTAAGAATGCTGGTGGTATTTTGATGGGGATTGCATTGATTCTGTAGATCACCTTAGGTAATATTGACATTTTAACAATATTGATTCTACCAAGCCATGAGCATGGTAGATTTTTCCATCTGTTTAAATCATCTGCAGTTTCTTTTGTTAGTGTTTTGTAGTTCTCCTTGTATAAATCTTTCATATCTCTCGTTAAGTATACTCCTAGGTATTTAATTTTCTTTGGGGCTATAGTAAAGGGTATTGCATTTTTGATTTGAGTTTCTGCTTGATGGTTCTTGGCATATATGAATTCCGATTTGTGTGTATTGATTTTATACCCTGAGAATTTACTGAATTCATTTATCAATTCTAGGAGTCTCTCAGAAGAATCCAGGGGTTTTCAAGATATAATATCATATCATCGGCAAAGAGGGAGAGTTTGATCTCATCTGCTCTGACTTGGATGCCCTTAATACCCTTCTTGCCTGATTGCTATAGCTAGGACTTCGAGCACTGTGTTGAATAGGAGGGGAGAGATTGGGCATCCTTGTCTAGTTCCGGTTCGAAGAGGGAATGATTTCAATATTTCCCCATTTAGGATGATATTAGCAGTTGGTTTGTCATAAATGGATTTGATAAATTTAAGGTAAGGGCTGTCTAGCCTATTTTGTTAAGAGTTTTTATCATAAAAGTATGTTGTACTTTGTCAACTGCTTTTTCTGCATCTATTGACAGAATCATATGGTCTTTGTTTTTGCTTTTATTTAGGTTTTCACATCTATATTCATGAGGGATATTGGTCTGTAATTTTCTTTTTTTGTTGCATCCTTTCCTGGCTTTGGTATCAAGGTGATATTGGCTTCGTAGAATAAGTTAAGCAGAATACCATCCTTCTCAATAGTGTGTAATAGTTTCTGTAGTATAGATATGAGTTCATCTTTGTATGTTTGGCAGAAATCTGAGGTGTAGCTATCTGGCTCAGGACTTTTCCGTTTGGAAAGGTTTTTAATTACTTCTTCAATTTCTGAGCATGTTATTGGTCTGTTCAAGAATCCTATTACCTCCTAGGTGAACTTAGGGAGGTTGTATGAGTCCAGGAATCTGTCCATTTCATCTTCATTCTGTAGTTTTTGGGCATATAGGTTTCTATAGTAGTCAAACATGATGTTTTGTATTTCTGTGGAGTCTGTTGTGATCTCTCCTTTTTCATTTCTTTTTGAGTTTATTAGAGTCCTTTCCCTTTGAGTTCTTGTCAGCCTAGCCATACCAGCTTCTGGTTTGTTGATCTTCCATATAATTCTCTTGTTTTCCATTTCATTTACTTGAGCTTTGATCTTAGATATCTCTTTTCTTCTGCTCGGATTGGAATTGGTTTTCTCTTCTTTTTCCAATTCTTTGAGTATATTCATTAGGTTGTCGGTGTATACTCTTTCTGTTTTTTGGATGTGAGCATTTATTGCTATTAGTTTTCCTCTCAGATATGATTTGCTGTATCCCACAGGTTTTGGTAAGATGTGGCTCCATTGTTGTTTTGTTCAAAGAAGTTCTTGATTTCCCTCTGAATTTTTTCCTTGACCCAATAGTTATTCAACAGTAGGTTGTTTAGTTTCCATGATTTAGTGATGTAGTGTGTATTTCTGTTAAATTTGAACTCTAATTTTATACCACTGTGGTCAGAGAAGGCACATAGTATTATTTCTATTTTCTTGAATTTTTTGAGGTTTGCTTTGTGGCCTAATATATGATCAATCCTGGAGAAGGACCCATGGGCTGCTGAGAAGAATATAAATTCAGCTTTATTTGGGTGGAGTATTCTGTATAGATCTGTCAGACCTTTTTCATCAAGAACTTTGTTTAGGAACCTTATTTCTTAATTTCTGTTTGGAGAATCTATCCAGTTCATTTAGTGGTATTAAAGTCCCCTGCTATTATGGTAGTGTTGTTTAAAGTGGTATTTAGCTCAGACAAGGTTTGCTTTATGTAATTGGGTGCTCCTGCATTAGGTGCATAAATATTAAGAATTGTTAGATCTTCTTGTTGGATTTTCCCTTTCACCATTATGAAGTGGCCTTCTTTATCCTTTTTTACTTTTGCTAATTTGAATCTAATATTATCTGTGAATAATATAGCTACCCCTGCTTTCTTTTGATTTCCATTTGCCTGGATGATAGTTTTCCATCCCTTGATCTTCAGCCAGGTGGCATCTTTATGGTTTAGATGTGTTTCCTGTAGACAGCAAATACTAGGCTTGTGGAATTTTATCCACTCTGCCAGCCTACGTCTCTTCAGAGGACAGTTTAAACCATTTACGTTTATTGAGAGGATTGAAATTGGAGTAAGATTTCCATTCATATTGATGAGTGAAGTACTGTTGCTTTGTCTTAGATCTTGAGACATCATGAAGGTCGAGGTCTAGACTTGAATTCTTTGAGGATTTTATTTGGAGGAGTGTCTATTGCCCTGTTCACCGTGGAAGGCCCGTCTGAGAATTTCCTGTAGGGCTGGTCTCATCTTTGCATATTCCTTCAGCGATTGCTTGTCTGAGAAGGATTTTATTTTGCCCTCATAGATGAAACTTAATTTTGCCGGATAAATAATTCTAGGTTGGGCTTTGTTCTGTTTTAGAAGATTAAGGATAGGCACCCAATCCCTCTTGGCTTGTAAGGTTTCAGATGAGAAGTCTGCTGTTAGTCTGATAGGCTTTCCTTTATAGGTTATGTGTTGTTTCCACCTTGCTGTACGTAGGATTGCTTCTTTCACATTTACTTTGGTCAACTTAATAACCACATGACGAGGCGATTGCCTATTCGCATTGTGTCTCCCAGGAGTTCTGTGCACTTCTTGTATTTGGTTATCCAGATTTCTAGGTAGGCCTGGCATATTTTCCTCCATCATGCCATAAAATAAGTTTTCCAACCCTTTTGAATATTCCTCTTCCCCTTCTGGAATCCCAGTTAGTCTGAGATTTGACTTTATTACATAATCCCACACTTCCTGTAATCTTTGGTCTTGTCTCTTGTTTCTGTGTACCCTTTCTTCCTCTAATTTGTTTAGCATGTAGGTACAATCTTCAAGCTCTGAGATTCTTTCCTCAGCATGATCTATCCTGTTTTTGAGGCTTTCTACTGTATTATGGAGTTCCTTGAATGTTTCCTTCATTGCCAGTATTTCTGCTTGGTTTCTCTGAATTCCTTCTATACCTTTGGAGAATTTTTTATTCATTTCCTGGATTGTTCTTGTGGTATTTCTATGTTGGGATTCTATTTTCTCTTCAGTTCTGTTGAGCTTTCTAAGAATCCATATCTGGAATTCTTCCTCTGTTAGTTTAATCATATCATGTAACTTGTTGTCAGTTGGTGAGGAATGAGTATTTTCTTTTGGAGGTGACTTTTCTCTCTGATCCTTCATGATTCCTGATGTCTTTCACTGGTTCTTCCTCATCTGGATACTTTGCTGAGGACTAGAGCTTTGGAACTCGATTATGAGCTGTGTTCTTGAGTTCCAAAGGAATGATCCTTGGAAGAGCTGGGGAGTATGTGTTCTGGTCCTGTATTGTCTAAGAGGAGTTTGAGACTGTTGGATTATCTTTGACCTGATGTTTTTCACCTTTTGTCCACAGTGTTTAGTGGGTTTGTGTCCCTTGCTTAGACACCCAAGGGATCGTTCACTGTAGTGAGATGAGACCAGTTTCCACCACTAGGTTGAAATGGGGGCACTGTGTTAAGCACTGAGTTTACTCTTTCTTTTGATCTCTGTGGTTTGTGGGAAGGAGTCAGTTATACGTATCCCAAGATCTTTGTATTGTGCTCTAAGCCTCTAAGTAGGATATACCGGTATCTCAGTGTTAAGCAAATGTCTTGCCACTCCCAAGGGTTCCTCGAGTCCTCAGGAATAGCAGCCTCCTTCGCTACTCCGCCTTGCTACGATAGGCTCTGATCTCTGGGCACAGATGGCAAACAGTTAAATGCAGCAAGAAACCACCCAGGTTCTAGCTTGGGAGATAGCCGCCGAACAAAACACTGCTATCACCTTTCCACCCTTTTAAATTCAGGTTCCGAGTCTACCTGCTGGGTTAGGGCAGAGGGTAGACTGAGCTCACTACCAGGGCAGGCCTCCACGGCGTTTCCAAGCTATGGGGTGGCGGTGGCAGGCTCAGGCAGTGCTGATGCCGCGTGCCCCCTGTTTGGCGGAAGGCTGGGTTGGGTTTGGCAGGCTGGCTTCAAACGACCCCTGCCCTGCCTAATTCCCCTGCTTGCAGAGACCCAGTGGTTTATGTGTGGGGAACTGCCTTCTGTCTACCCAGCGCCAGTCAAAGCTTCAGCGGTATCCAAAGGCAAAGCCTCCTTTAAGGTGGAGTCCCCACTTCCTGGACCTGGAAGCGTCCTGAGGTGGAACGCCCAATTCGGCACTCGTTTCTGGGGTGCGGGGAGGCGGCCACTGAGTCCAGCACCTGCAGGCTCAGCTCCTGCGCCTGCTTCAGCGAGCGCTGGGGCGCGAATGGCTGCCTTCTCCCGAGGCGGAGCAGGCCTGGCCTAGGGCAGCGGGAGCCCGAGAAACGCCTCGCGGAGGAGCCGTCTCCCAGCCGCAGGGCGGGCCGCGGCGGGGCTGGGGGGCTGCGGAGCGGCTGCTGGGTCCAGACCCTTCCCGCACTCCATCTGCCCGCAGCGCCTCCCACCCTTCAGGCGGGTCTGCCGGCGGGAGTGGGGATGGGGGGGCAGGGGGGGCTCCCTGCAGGGAGGAGCCTCCTCCCCAGCCCGCCGCCGCCGCTCCCTCCCCGCAGTTTTTCCCACTGGGGTTTAGTGGAAGAATTTCGGTTCACCTTGGGTTATTGTCCCCGATTTCCGCATCCCGGCGTGTCCAGAGCAGGCGCGGTGACTCGCGTGGGGTTGTCCGTCCTCTCCACCTCTCACCCTGAGAGCCAGGAGGTCAGCCCTGTCCCGCCACTTCTCACAATCAGCCTATGTGTTTTAGACCTACTTGTAATCAGTTTATTATGTTCATAGTTCTTATATATTGAATGAGTTAATATTTGAGTAAAGTTTACAGGTAAGTCAAACTAAAGACTTAAATATGCTACAAGGTGATTTTTTTATTTCTAACATTTTTAGTAGTAAATGTAGAGAAGATTATTAGATATAAAACGTTATTGTTAAATATTATATTCTATAGTGTTAAATATTTTAATTACATATAATAGCTCTTATAGATAATATTAAATGCATCCACTCATCTTAGTAATTGTTTTATAGGATAAAATGGAAATGACAGGGACATTCAAACTACAGAAGTATCGACTGGTGGAAGATGGATTTAATCCACTGAAAATTTCTGATCCACTTTACATCATGGATAACTTGGAAAAGTCTTATGTTCCATTGACCAAGGAAATTTATGATCAAATAATGTCAGGGGAGATAAAGCTTTAAGATTTTGTACAGTGATATTTTCATACACTTTCCTAGGAAGAGTGAGAAGAGAGTATGGTATTCTTCATTATGAAATGGGGAAAGGGAACTAACATTAATTATGTGCTATATTTCCTTAATATAGAAGAGAATTTCTTTAATCAAGTAAAACTTTAATTTGTTTTAATTGACATGGACTTTAATTGATTATTGTTTTTACCCATTTGGGGATTCAGTGCACAACTAAATATTTGTCTTAACATTAAATATTTTAAAAAATGAATAAGTGGCTAACAGACAGTAAAAATGTTTTTTCTAGTATGTACAATTTCTGGTTTTTAATAAATGGTTAAATTTTATTGAAATATTACATTTTTATGTGTCCTGTCCTATAACTCAATAAAATCATCTTCATTAATATGTGTTTTGGGTTTTTGTTCTGATATTTTTTTACTGTAAATTTCCAAAGGAACTGACTAAATGCACCCACACTCATATCTCCTTTGTTTAAACTCACATTAAGATGATTGATAGAAGAAATATAAAAATTTGAAACGGCACAGCAGAAAAACTGGTAAGCTCAAAGCATTTAGGAATTTTTGAAGATATATAAATGGGATCAAATTGACAATAAAACCAATAGAGCTGTTGTAACCACTAATACTACAGGGAAAGAATAGAACAGAACCCTGGTGTTATCACCAGGATCAAGGTCAGAAAAGGCTATGAGTTTGAACAGGTTTGTGAGTAGTTAACTGGGAAATTCATTACAAGGATAGTCTAGTGAGCACAGTTGTACTTATCCTAAGCTGGAAACACCAAACTCCTGTGTCTCCTTTAAGCCAGAAACACAAAAGCTGTTGCCACCCAGCCAGGTTCACTCACCCACTGCCCAAGAGGAAGCCAGTCTACAGAGACAGCGGGGTTTAGGAAGAGAGTTTATTCTGCATAGTGCTGAGTGGGGAGACGGGAGAAATTTATCAAATCGGCCTCCCTGAGGACTCGGGCGATAAGGTTTTTAAGGATAGTTTGGCAGGCAAGGGATCAGGCAATTAGGTTTGTAAATTGGGGCAAAATTATAAGAGCATAGAAATCATTTTGTGTTGTTTCATCATGTATGTATCTAAACTATATCTGGCCAACAGCCAGTACTGGTCATCTCACTTGCCTCTGTATTTCGAGATTCGCCATCACTTACTCTTGGCGCCTACATCTAGTGCGTCCTTTTACAGACTACCACAAACGCAAACTACTTCGGGAAAACCAACCCAAAGGTAACTGAACGGAAGGAAAAGATGCGTTACATGTGCTTTACCCCCTGGCTGGACAGACCCGTGGCTGTGCGGTTGCCAGAGTCGCCGGCGCCAGAGCCGCCCACAGCCGCGCGGTCGGCGGCCGGAGGCCTGTCCGCCTCTCGGTTCCAGGCGGGAGACTAGAGCGCCCTGCGTGTCCGAGCACGGCCGCCTCCTAGCGGGCCCTGGCTGGCTGCAGCTGGCTCCGGTGTGGAGGGTTATGCCAACTTCTCTTTGATTTTCTTTAAAGACAAACAACGAAAGACGGCTGAACCGGCGCCTCATTAGTGGGCGGCACGAACTGTCTTCTGGCGAGGGCAACTTCCGGCGCCTTCCCGAGCGGGACTTCCCGAGCCTGGCGGCGCTGCGGGAGGGCGCGCGGGCGGGCGCTGCGGGACGGCGCTGCGGGAGGGCCTGCGGGAGGCGCTGCGGGAGGGCGCGTGTGGAGGGGCGCGGGCGCTGCGGGAGGGCGCTGCGGGAGGGCGCGGGCGCTGCGGGAGGCGCGCTGCGGAGGGCGCGGGCGCTGCCGGGAGCCCGAGGGGCCGAGCCGGCAGCGGGCGGAGGCAGCTCTCAGCCTCCGCCCTGCGCCGGCCTGCGCCACGCTCGCTTCCCCGCCGCGCAGGCCGGGCCGCGGCGCCCCGAGAGAGGCGGCCCGCAGCCTGGCCCTCCCGCGGCCTCGTGCCTTCGATTCTGAACATACGTGTTGTTGGTTTTGCTTTTGGTGGTGGTGGTGGTTTTTTTTAAACTGACCACTTAGAGCAAATACCTTAGTTACCTGTGGTTTCCGTGCCCTGTCCCTGCCCCCACCAGTTGTGAGTGGAGCGTTTCACTTTTCTGTGGCCTATGTAAAGAGTCTACACGGCCCAGGCAGGAGGGTGGAAGCAGCCACCCAGAAGACCCGCTGGACCCTTAGGCCGATGGCTTGGCTTCAGACAGGCGCTGAGTTTTCGCAGGAACAATCTGAACGGAGAAGGCAAACAGCGATAGGTGACATTCCCTGCCCAGCTCTGCTCACGGGAGGAGTTTGGTTCTTCCCCTACTCTTGAACATTGGTATTCAGGTAAGGCATTGATGTTATGGGAAGGAGGGATGGAGGGAACGAAGGGGGGAGGGAGGGAAGGGAAAGAAGGGAAAGAAAGAAACAGTATCAAATTCCCTATAACCTATCAGTGTCTTCCCAAACCCATCCTTCCAACCGGAAACCTGGCTGTCCCTGGAGGGTACCATTTTACTTTTGGTTTATGAAGGCAGAGCTTTTAACTCTCATACACACCATATGTTGTTGTCAACAGGTGGTTCCTTGAACCTCCGAGTCCCTTCCAGACTATCAGGCTGTCTGCTCCCATGAGGGCCACCATCTAGCTTTAGCATCCTCACCTCCTGGTGCCTCCACCGCATTTTCTGATGATTTCATCAAAGGGCTTGACACTTTCTTCTCTCCCCAGTTTGTGTCATCATTCAATAGCAAGCTCCATCCAACCACCTCAATTTTTCTCCACTATGAGTATATCATACTTTTCCATGCTTTTCCAATCTTCCATTCCCCACCCCACCCCCAGCTGATGGCTCTCTTTGTACTAATTGAGAACATACAGGTGATCAGATGAGGACACCATCATCTTCACAGTATCCTAAGTAACTTATATATACACGCAGTTATCTCTCTTCTTCTTGCCATGGAATATATGTTCCTTTTGCTATCAAAAGCCATTCTCAAAATATATATGTTCCAGAACTCATGTTCTCTCTCTCTTTAAGAATTTTTCCTGAAAGTCAGCAGGATGGTAGGATAGAAAGCTCAGGACTTTCCCTCTACCCACAGACATACCAAATAAACAGCTACACATGGATTAATTTCTTTTGAGAAAAATCCAGAAACTACTTGAGAGACTCCTGCACACCAGGCACTGAGAAAATACCTGCATCAAAATGGGTAGGAAAATATGAGATATAATCTCACCATAAACCCCACCCTGCCACAGCACTGTACACTCAGGAGGGAGCCCCACCTTTCAGCTTCTGCCTGGGAGTGAAGGGTCCTATGGGACCAGCTCCTGACTTGCCTATTTCTGGCAGCTGATGGGGCATGGCATTCACTAGATCCCCAGGACCTAAAAGAACAAAGAGGCAGTTTTAAACAGGGTCTGTGCAAGCATTTCCCATTTGTCTTCCCCCTGGCTCAATGCAGAATTAGCAGGCAATACAACTCAGCTTCCAGCTTCTTCCTGGAAGGGGTTAGGTTGCACATCTAAAGTCCTGACTTTTCCAGATGCTGCCTAAGTGTCTGGCTTCTAACTAGCCTGTATCTGTGAGCTGATATGGCAGGCAATTACTAGTCCTCCAGGCACTTGAACAGGCGTATGGGGAATTACCATGGCTTTTCCATTCTAGCTTGGTTCATTTATAAAACTAAGTCTCCAACTTTTCCCTGAAAGAGTTGGACCTATATCTAGCACTTGCTAGGCCCCTGGGGAAACGAGAGAGCAGAGCAGTGGTTCAAAGGAGCATGCGATTCTGAACCAACCTGCAGGCACTTGCCACAGCTCCCTTTCTCAGCCTCATGCAGAGCAAGCCAGTGGTAGACTCTAGCTCCGTTTCTCCCTGAGGAGAGAAGGAACTGTGCCACCCGTCTCACATCCCAGCTTCTCCAGCTGCCACTCTGGGCACTGGCTTGCACCTTGCGTGTGTTGGGGCACTGATGGAATTTGGCATACACTAGTCTTCTGGGGCCACTAACAACAAAGACAATGGTTTGGATGAGCACAAGGGTTTGAGAGGCACTCAGAATATCTGGCCAGGCTCATTGGTAAGGTTCATCTCTGATATAAGGGCACACTGTGAAGACTTGGAGAGGTTGCTGTTTTGTTTAATGCATAGAAACCAACACAGAAAGTGGAGACAGTATGTTCCAAATCAAAGAACAAGACACATGTTTAGAAATCAATCCTAATGAAATGGAGATCTGTGATTTTTCTGACACACTTCAAAATAATGGTCTTACAGATGGTCTCCAAGGTCAGGAGAGTAATGCATGAACAAAGTGAGAATTGCAACAGATAGAAAATATTTAAAAGTACCAAACAGAAATCATAGACCTGAATAATACAATAAATTAACTGAAATATCAACAGAAGGGTTCAACAATAGGCTAGATCAAGCAGAAGAAAGGACTAGTGAACTTGAAGACAGGTCACTGGAAATCATCTCATCACAGGCGTAAAAAAAAAGAACTATAAAAAAAAGTGAATGTAGGGACTCATGGGATGATGCCATCTCCATTTGATGATGAGGTGTTGCTGTGCCTGCCCATATGGCTTGGCGGGTCATATAACGCCCAGTTCATGGCAGGCAGCTCAGGTCACATGGTATAATAACTCGGTGGTGCACGATCAAGTGTTCAGTCTCTACTAAGGCACAGTAGGAGGCCAAGAGCTGTCTCTCAAAAGAAGAGTAGTTATCTTTAAATAATATCAGGGTCTTGCTCCCAAATCTTGAAGGCTCACACTGTGATTCACGTATGGGGGCTCTAAATAGCACCCCCACCTGCCACTGTCACTTGGAGCCCCATCAGATCTACTGGATCATTTGGCACATGCGGCAAAGCGGCTTGTACAGCAGCCTGGCCCCGTTGGAGAGGCTTCTGTTTCTCAGGGGTCCCCTTAAAACTAGTAGCTTTTTGAGTCACTTAGTAATCTGGCTGAAATTATACCCCAAATGCAAACAATGTTAGAGACAAAGTCAAATGACAAGTGAAAAACTGGGGAAATATCTAATTCACGTCACAGATAAGGGATAATTTCTTAAAGATCTCCTAGATACTGTCAAGAAAAAGATAAGCAACACTAGATAAACAGGCAAAAGATATGAACATAGACAATTAAAAGAAAAGAATCCCTTAATTGTGTAAAAAGAAAAAAAGTCCAACCTATTCATTATAAGAGAAATACTTACTGAAAGTACACTTATCAGATTGGCAAAAATTCCCAAGTTTCACAACAGATGGCAAGGAAATAGGGAATCAGGCCCTTCATATTTTGCTCGTGGGAACATAAAATTA